GCTCAGGGCCAATCTTCCTCATCAAAAAAAAAAGTATTATGAGAATAACACTAAGACATTTGCCTCTCATTGTGTGCATTGGTGGGTAGAACTGACACCTTTGCCAGAGTCAAGGCAGCAGCACTAACTCTCCTAGTAGCCGCTGTATCCTTCACCATCACATACTTGCAGTTAAAAAAAATTAATTAAATAAATACAATTAATTAATTAAAAATAGATACAAAATAAAACATTCTTAGGATGCCAGTTCCACTGAAGAATGCCCCAGGGAAGCAGTAGAAAGCGAGTCGACGGGAATTATGCAGGCAGCCCTTCAGCTGCCTGACGGAGGATGGGGTTTTCTCCAGGAAAAGTCTTGGGCGATCGATGGTTGGTATCAGGCATTGAACTAGCTGTGTACAAACGAAGTGAGCCTGTCACTTCAAGGAAAACAACTGACAGTACTTGTTCCTAAATGATAAAATTCGAGCTTTCAGGGGGAGATTAGAATTTTGAAAAACTTGTATCTGCTGCCATGAGCCCAACAGCCTCCCAATACGCAAAGACTTTTCTGATGAGATTGATGATGATATTAACGAATGTCACCACTGACATACGGCATTCATACACCTTTTTTAATTATATGCTCATTTGCATCCTCACTCATTTAACCCCTGTCCCTCTCAGCCAGACATCCAACTGGCTTTTTGATGACAGAGACCAGGTATTCCTCATATATGGCTTAGCGGTTGGCACATAGTAGGACCTCAATAAAACTCACTGGAGAAACGTGCAACGACTAAATGAATAAATGAAGCCAGTGTTCTTTCCCCGCAATCTTACCAAATCCTCCTTGGAAGGTTCCTCAACATGTGTGCACTCTGCTCATTAGAATGGCCCAGGCCAAACGTGCATAAAAAGCATCAAAGAGTAATATATATTTCACACTCCTAAATAGCAGCTGGAATCATCATTGAAGAAAAACAACCAAAACAGACACACACATAGAGGGAGAGAGAAATGAGTGCTGGTTTCCATGACATTTCACTATTTATTTTAAATATTAGGAAAATGAATATGCCACAAAGGCCTAAAAGCAATCATTAGTCAAAGATGAAAGGCCAAATGGCCAATCTGCTGAGAACCACAAATTCAACAATTGCATTGGCTGAGTTAGAAATGCCCCAGCATTAATGATAATCTCAAATGTTCCTGGATCGAGAAAGAAGGGGTAGATGGAAAGTAAGTATTAATTTTTTTAGATTCCTTTCTTCAAAGGGAAAAAAATTAAAGCAAAACAAAAATCAATATCTGTGTTCCATGTCCAATGCCAACTGTAATGATTTAAGTAAATCATTGCTCAGTAATTAGAGCAGAAAGTGGAAGAGGTCCTTTATTAAGGCACTGGAGGGGCGTGATAATGAATGAAATACCCATGGAACCTGATCGAAGCTGAGAATCAAAAAGCGGACAGTTAACCAATCAAGGTGGAAACTCTTTCCTAGAAGCCAAAATCCTTCCTGTGACATTTGCATGGAATTAAAGGTCCATCAACATCTGGATGAATTGTTTTGCTCATTAGTAAAAGCAATGGAATCACATAGGCAGAAGGGTAGCTCAGAACTTAACTACACCGGGACCCTAGACGGCTTAAGCCTAAAACAAGGCAGATAGCGGGGTGCACAGTTGACATCTCAGTCACTCTGAACTGGTCTTTGAGATCGTGAGGAGCAAAAGGGTAATGGAGTTACTACCTACATTTGCCAAGGAGCTAAACACGAAAGAGTATTTTATAAAGACTTACAATAAAGCTGACATGATTTATACTTGCCAACAAGAACATTCTTTAAACAAACACAGGCCATAATGGAAATTGTATTCCCAGGGCACACAAGTGCTTACAAATACAATCACGTAATTTTAGCTCGGATGTCATCTTTTTAAAGAATTTCCACGGTTCACCCCAGCAGTTGGCAAATAATTCCTTCCCTAAAATTTGGGAAGACTAAGAGAAATTTAATGAATTTAAGTCAGGCAATAGAAAAGATTTCTTTGAAATAACCTCCAGGTTCTACGGTAGAGTTACGTCCTACAAAATTTCCCCTCTGGAGAGAAGCAAAGAAAGGAACGGAAATAAGTGTAATGAGCATTTAGTAAATGCCAAATACTGTGCCTGGTGATGGGGGCCCAGAAGTGAAACAGATAGTCCACCTCCTCAAGCAGTTTAGAACAGTCTAGCAGGAGAGACAGATTTTTTTTTTAAGTCAAAAATAGCAATTTTGTGCTGGGGTGCTATGCCAGGGGGATGGTCTGATTCGTGGTGCGAAGGGAGGGGCGTCAGGAAGACCTCTCAAAAAAGGCATCATTTAAGGTGAATCTCTGCAAATGAATAAGAGTCAACCAGGTAGACAAGAGCAGAAGACAGACGAACAAAGGCAGGTGCTATAAGAGAAGGACTTAAACACACCGTCATTCCGGAGAACCTGCTTCTCCTCACAGGTTTCGAATGCCAGTGAATGCACCAAGTTGTCCGTACAGATGCCCACCCCTCATTTCTGAGCCCTACTCCTCCCGCGCTGCACCCACTCCTCCACCCCAGAAATGGCCGACTGGTCCCCAATTTAAGGTACCACAACCATCTTCCTCTCCTATCTTTACCTTAAAACCTCTGCTGAAACACTCTCTTGGAGAACAAGAGCATAATTGCTAAAAAAAAAAAAAAAAAACTTTGGAAAGCAATTTGATGATATATACATAAAGCTTTAAAAATATTCATATCCTTGGATCCAGGAACTCACTTTCTGAGAATATATCTTTAGCAAATAATTCAAAATATTAAAAGCACTTTAAGAACAAAAATATTCAGAGTGTTGTTTATAATAGAAAAATAATGGAAGTGATCCAACTATCTAACAAAAGAGGGTAATTCAGTATCATTATGGTTATAAAGAGTTTATAATAGTATGGGGAAATGTGTATATTATAATATTAAGAAACACCAGGATATAAAACTGTAGATAAAATATGATCACACTTTAAAAAAATATATGCAAAAATCTAGACAGCAATGCATCAAAAAATGGCACTGCTGTCTTTGGGGAGAGGGGACAGGATTACACCTGATGTTCTTCTCTTCTTTTGACTCTTTCTTGGTTTCCAAATTTTCTGCAATAAATATGAATGGTTTAAATTTCTATTTGTAAGTACACAAGTAATCTATGAACATATTATCATTGTTTAAAATTTGAATATCAAATATAAAGTTCCCAAGATCACCATCTGCAATCCTAGTCTCCTCAAAGAGATGATAGTTAACAGCCAACTGATTCTATTTCTAGAGCTTTTTCTAGAAATGTCCATGCATATAGACTTACCTGTATAAATACATAGTATTCTTTTGTGTCTGAGCACTAAGAGGGCACAGCCAACTCAGGGGAGACAGAAGAGGAGACATTAAGAATGAAGAGAAGGGTACCAGACAGAAATAATGGAGAAAAATATTGCAGGCAAAGGCAGTCATTTGTGAAAAGATGCTGAGAGCAGCGAGAGGATGGCTTATTTAAAAAACAGTGAGAAGTTCTGGGTGGTTGGCGCACAGATTGCCTTGGAGGAGCGGCAGGAAATGGGACACAGCGGTAGCTTAGGGCTGGTTTGTCTCCCAGGCCAAGACACATGGCCTTTATCCTATAAGCAGTGAGGAGCCATAAAGATTTTTATTTTGTTATATTTTAAGAAGTACTTACTAAGCTACTGCTTTTTAAAAAACAAGAAGAATGAGAGCTAACATTATTACTAAACGTCAGGCACTGTGCTGAGCACTTCACATGTATCCTTTCCCAATAAGCCTATGAGGTAGGTTTTATTATGATATCCTGTTTTATAGATGTGGAAACCAAGACTTAGAGAGTTTAAGCAGCTTGGCCAAGATGTGATAGGCAGTGAGTGGCGAGCTGGCATTCAGACTGGAAATCCGCTGTCCCACTCTTAACCACTGCCCTATGTCCTTTTTGTGAAAATCATACATATGCTTACTAAAAATGAAAAACTGAGTGTACTGGATTGAAGTGTCCCCCCAAAATTCACATCTACTTGGGGCCTGTGAATGTGACCTGATTTGGAAATCGGGTCTTTCCAAACATAATCAAGTTAAGATGAGGTCATACTGGATTAGAGTGGGCCCTAAATCCAATGACTGGTGTTCTTAGAAGAAAGAAATTTGGACACAGGGACACACAGGGAAGAAAGCCATGTAAAGACAGATGCAGAGACTGGAGTAATGCAGCTCCAAGCCAAGACATGCCCGAGGTTGCCAGCAACCATCTGAAGCCAGGAGAGAAGCATGGAGCAGATTCTCCCTCAGAGCCCGAGAAGGAAGCAACCCTGCCAGCTCCTTGATTTCAACCTCCAGCCTCCTCAACTGTGAGAGAATAAATTCCTGTTGTTTCAAGCAATACAGCTTGTGGTACTTTGTGATGGCAGCTCTTGGAAACTAATACACTGAGTAAGTTCAAAAGGTATGAAGATGAAAGTATAAAAAATCACCTCAAATCTTACCACTGAGAGAGCATCGTCATGACTGTTTGGCAACACGTCTCCATATACGTACTGAGATAGAAGAGTGGATTAAGTGAGTTTTCTTTTAAAACTTTCTTTCCATTTTGAAAGTTGTGCATGCAAAGTTTGATAATATCAAGTACTGGCAAGAACGTGGGGCTCGAGTGTGCTCATACACACTGCTGGCTGGAGTTGGCACAGGCGATTCGGCAATTCGGCAGTACCCATCTCCATTGGAAGCAAGTAAGCCCTCTGACTCAGCAATTCCTTCTCTTCAAATCCAGTAAAGCAGACATCGTACAAGGATCTTCCTCACACAATGGAAATAACTGGAATGGCCGTTGTTTCAGGAAGGGCTAAATAAATGAGTTGTGATATGTCTTAGTTCACTCAGGCTGCTATAACAAAACACCACAGACTGGGAGGGTTACAAACAACAGAAATTTATTTCTCACAGTTCTGGAGGCTGGAAGTCCCAGGTGAGGGTGCCAGTATGGGCAGGCGAGGGCCTCTTTCAGGTCACAGACTTCTCATTTTGTCCTCACATGGGACACAGGGCCAGGGATCTCTCCAGAGTCTCTTTTATTAGGGCACTAATTCCAATCATGGGGGCTCTACCCTCACGCCCTAAGCACCTCCCATGGGCCGCATCTCCTAATGCCATCCCCTTGGGAGTTAGGATTTCAACATATGAGTTCGGGGGCTGGGGGGAACCAACGTGCAAACCATAGCATAATACATTATTATACTAGACTTCAGTTAAGAATGAGCTGGCACGGGACACATTGTTGAATGAAAAAAAGCAAGTTGCAGAATAAACCTGACCCTGCTTTTCTACACAGTCTGAACTTCATCAACGAAGGGGCAGGTAAGCCTGATGCGTGCAAGGCACAGTGAGGCGGCCAGCGGGGCGGAGCAGAGGGCAGGGAGGAGATGCAAGTGGAGGCCGAGGTGGGGCAGAGGGAGCGGACAGGCCTCCCGGGCCTTGGAGGCCTCTGCAGGACCATGGACTTTTTTCATACTAAGATAGGAATTCTTTGGAAGGTTCTGAGTGAGGGAGGGATGGGATCTGGTTTTGCCTTTTTAAGAACTGACTGTTACTTCTCTGTTGAGAACAGATGCAGAGGCATCTAAAGAGGAAACAGGGAGACAGGGGAAAAGAGTATTGCTTGGTCCACTCCAGGGACTCTGGGGGTGGCAGCAGAGGGTGAGCAGTGGTCAGATTCCGGATTTGTGGCCCACACAACTAGGAGGAGGTGGCGCCACTCACCATGATGTGGAAGGCAAGGGCAGGAGCTGGTGCGGGGGTTCAACCGGGAATGCCACTTGGGGCCATTAGGTCTGAGCTGTCTGTTAAATTTGGTGCAAAGAATCGAGTGGCAGTCTTGTAAACGAGTCCAGAGCTCCCGGGAGAGGCTGGCTGGAGATAGGAGCACGTGGCCATCAGCACACAAGTGATATTTAAACTCTTGGGACTAGAGGAAGTGGGAGGGCACAGCCTTGGGATGCTCTGACATTTAAAGAACTGTCAGAGGCTAAGAATCCAGCAAATGGGACTGAGCAGCAGAACCCACAACACAGGAGGAGAGGCTCGGGGTGAGGTGTCCTGGAACACTGGAATCCAAATAAGCAGAGCGCCCAGAAGGAAGGAGGAGAAATCCATTGTGTGAAAACAAAACAAACATGGGCTGGTTCCTACTCCCCAGGACACCAGGAACAGAGGCTAAGAGCCACCTTTGCAGTTCTCTAGGACAGTGCTTCTTAGACTTAAATGTGTGCCCAGATCACCGTTCCTTGTGGAGGTGGAGATCCGCCTGCAGGAGGTGTGGGGAGGAGCCTGAGGCTCTGTAGGTCTGACAGGCCCCCAGGAGAACCTGGCAGCCGGGCCCGGGACCGCATTTTGAGTAGCAAGAATTTAGACCCAAACCCTGGAAATCAACACAAGCAGTCATGACTGCGGAAACATTCCAGGGAAAGCTCAGAATATTTTTTCCACCTTTTTCCCTCTAAACGCAGCGCTTCTTTCCACGCAGCCCTGTCTTCATCAATTTCTCCTCAGGCAGGTTTTTTTTTCCCTCCATCAGGATCTTGAGGCTTCACCGTAGCCGTGACCTCTTCTGACACAGCGTCCTCATGAACTCAAGTACTAAGTCCTAAAGTAGAACAATGCAGTGAGTGGATTCAGCTGAAACCTACATGTCCCCAGATGGGATGTCCCCAAGGGAATCTCAGCCTTCTGGGAGTGGCCGTCTCATTCCTGTCACGTCCAGAAGCCTACTCCCCCAAATCTCTGAAGATTTCGAGCCACGCTTCTCCTACATTAATCTCATAGCATGTTTCTCCACCCTACAGCTTCCAGATTCTCATGAACACCTTCCTCTTCGGTCAGCCACCCACACAACACACCACCTGCCATCTGTCATTCCCCCAAGAACCATTCACACACGGTCGCTGCGTGTGGTAGACTTGTCCCAAGGTTTAGGGGTTGCAGAGGGTCATAACATCACACAGCAGAAAACAACTTCAAGCTCAACGTCAGGTGTTACCATAAAATAAATGTACCAGCTATTTCCTACCACAGGGAATTTGTCAGTGGTGCGTCCTTTGAGGCCCTACCTACCCGCCTGCCTCTCTCTCTCTCTGACCCCTCTTCACATCCCCCACCACTGGGCCCTTCATCCCCTTCCTCCCCAGTTGCTTCTGTACATTTAAAACCCCTCCTGCTTTCGTCCCCAGATCCACGTCTCCCTTTTGCTCTCTCTCTCCATCCCCTCTGGGGCCTTGCCTTCCTCTGTCACGGGTGCCAGCAAGGTGTTCGCACGCCCCTGGGGGACAAGCTGGCCCTCCCCACAAGGCAGGGCCACACACGAGTGATTTTCTCAATAGCATTCTGTCCTTCCCACCACACAGTGCGAAAAAAACCAGTTGTTGCAGTGAATCGGCAGGATACAGGCTGTCAAAACAGTCCAGCCCCTTGGATGCGCGGGCATAGCTTGTCTGAACTTGTTTCCAAAAAGCCTATTATTCCACAGAAGCCAGCATCTGCCAATACTTAAGCCACATGTCAAGAGTATAAACATTGCTTAATAGATACTCGTGAGGAGAGACTACTGCAAATCTTCATATTTGTTTTCCTTTTGAACTCTTAATACCTCCCCAAAACACCATCGTTTACCCTCATCAACGGCCTCTCCCCTCTCTGAAAGGGTTTTCTTTCTCACAGTCCCTCAGAGAGGAGAAGCAAAATAAAATAACCTGACCAGTCATCTCTCAGTAATTTGGAATTAGCACATGAGTCTCATGGCGCAGCTCCCAAGGGCACACACCCCCCCCCCCCCAAGATCACTACCTCAGCTCATTTGTCCCAGTCCACCTGTCTGTCTCCAGGGCACCATGGCAAGGAGGTGCAGCAACAAGTCCAAAAATGTCCTTTCCCATTTCCCATGGATAATGGTAACTGAAGGACGGAGTTTAAGAGGCTGCACCATGAGCCTCTAAATGGCTCCTACACACCAGCTCCCGTCACATCATTCTCCTGCTTATAGTCCCTTGGTGGCTCCCACTGAGGGCAGAGGGAAAGCAAATTCCACGATGACAGCCAGGGCCTTCCAACCTGGCCCCGAGAGGACCTTCTATTGCCATCGCCCGTCCTTCCATATGGCCCTATACTCGAGTCAAGGTCAAAAGTGGAAGAGAGGGGGTTGGAGTCCACACCTTCTGAAAAAATTATTCTGCAAGGCCCTTTCCAAAACTCACGTGCACACCCCCTTACACATATACACACCCAGAGTCATACACATACCCATACACAAACCCTCACAAACACACATGTACACACACACACACACTATTGCAATCCCCAATACACAGGACAGTGCATCCATCCTGCCCTTTTCCCTAGCAAAGGAACATCTAAGCAGATGGTTTACACAAAGAAAGAAGGCGGGTAGAGGTGGTAAAGATAAGGAGCAGGGAGGTGTGGTGCCCCCCCTTAGACTTAATTAGTCCTTAGATTCTCAAATCCTTGTCCCAGTACTGTAGGACATGAGTCCATATGGCAGTTCCAGCCACCAGCCCCTGACGTCCTCTGTGGCCAGAAGTCCCACCTCGTGGCCGCCTCACGACATGCTGACAAATGTGAGGCCACCGCGTCCAACACTCACATCCAACACTGATGCAGGATAAGAATCGTTGTGATGTCAGCCGCTCAGTTTTGAGGAGTAACTCGCTTCCTTTCATATAACAAGTGGTTGGCATTATTTATTTTGCTCTCAGTAAATCCATGAAAACGAAAAGTCAACAACAGGACCCAAGCAGGGGCACAGGTCAGAGAGTACATCCAGGACGTCAGATGCAGCGGCCGCAGGGCCAGCACGACGAGAGAAGGCCCTGGTGCTTTAAAGAGACCCTTCTAGGGCCTCCCAATGCACCGCTCTGGCTCCTGGCCCCAGCGCAAGTCCTGCTGCCTGTGGCTCGTCCTCCAAGTGGCTGACTGGCACCAGGAGACCTGCGCCGCCCCTGAAGCTCTATCCAGAGCCCTAGAATATGAGACCCGGAGGGAACCTTCTAGCCAGAATCTGGGCCAAACTCTGCCTTTTACAGAGGAAAGTGGGCTCCAGAAATGACTTGTCCTAAGTCCAAAGTCCAAAGTCCACAACTCGTTAGTGGCAGAATATGGACTGGAATTGCACTGGGTCGAATATTCTTCCCACCTCACCTCCACCCCCTACACTGCCTGAAAACTTCTCAGGCTTCAAGCCTCAGCGGGGTGGACACCCCCTCTGGGAGGCCTTCCCAGCCTCCCTCCTTCCAGCGAGAGTTCGAGGCCCTCTCCTTTCAGATAACCTCGTTAGGGAACTTGAATCAGGCCGGAACGCTCTGGCCCCAACAGTCTCCACACAATGGACGTGGGCATCTTGAACAAAGGAAGAAGGGCTAGCTTATCTCCATCCTCAGTGCCTGGCGCTCAGTCAGGAGTGGTCAATGTAAAAACGTAATGAAGTGCACATCTTGGTCAGCAAGGAGTGCTGTCTGCACAAACCACCTGTCTCTTGCTCTCAGTCTGAACTGTCTACCAACTAGCGCATTGACTCTGCATACCACAAGGTTCAATATTTAACTGTTTTCTCAGTGTTTGGTGCTGTTAGCTTTTGTGTTCCCAACTGGACGAGAGGCGCTGGCAATACACATGGTGGATCTCTCCTAGAAGGCCTGGCACAGTGGTTCTCAGCCTTGGCCACACATCAGTACCACTTGGGGTCTTAAACACCCACTCAATGGCTAGGCCACATCCCAGACCACCCCTCTGGGAGTGGGGCCCAGGCATCAGATTTTTAAGTTCCCCAGTTGGTTCCAGCATGCAAGCAAGGTTAAAAAACACATTCCTAGAAAAATAGGATACTAGAAACTCTTTGTTGATTCAGCCATGTCTGCATATGAGCGAGTGTAATTGTGAATGAGAGTGTGAGAAACACACAAAGTGGCACAGAGGAGAAGAGAAAGAGGTTGCTCAGCATTGCGTAGCCAGGGTCCCTCTCCCTCGGCACTACTGACATTTTGGGCAACATCATTCTTTGTCATGGGAGCTACCCCGTGCATTGCAGGACATTTAGCAGCATCCTTGGCCTTAACCCAGTAGATGCCAACAGAAAACCCTCCCCACACCCCCAGTTGTGACAACCCAAAACGTCTCTAGGCATTGTCAAATGTCCCTGAAGGTGGAGGGGCAAAATCACCCCTGGATGAGAACTATTGGTGTGGACTAGCCACCAAATAATTTAGCGCAAGTTTATTTGACGTCAACTGTAGGTCACACAGACACTTTTCCAAACTTGGCTAAGTGACCGAGGATTCTGGACAGCAGGACCAGTGTCTCAGTGAGAGGTATGCAGGACTGGGCTGCACACAGGATGGGTGGGAAGCGGTTGGTGGGGTCAGCAGTGTGTTCTGAGGTAAGAGAGAGTCATGGAGAAACTAGATGAAGTAGGTTCAAGGCAGTTAAGAGGAGTAGGTGGTGGTCACGCTGATAAAAGATGACCAAAAACAGAGCAAAACCAAAAAAGCCAGGTATTCCATGAAATAACAAAGTCAGAGGCAAGCAGAGGGTTGTCACAGATGAAGGCAAGTGACAACCAGAAGCTGAGAAAAGAAAAATGGTCAGAGAAGGAGCCCTCAGAAGCTCTGAGCAGGGAAGGACCGCACCCAGCAGTGTTTGGGGCCACAAGTCCATCGCAGTATTAGGCTGGCACAGAGGAGGACTGGGGGCAGGAAGCTGAGCTGCAGCTGTCCAAACCCAGCTGCTGCCTGATGCCTAAAACACCTTTACTCCCTGCGAAGCCCTCCCCTCCCTCACCCTCCGCCCACCCCCTCCAAACCCTCGTCCCTGTGCTTCTGACCCTACACTCTCCTGGTTTCCCCCAGGATCTCCCCGCATTCCCTCTCAGCCCTGCGGGATCCTCTTCCTCTGCCCGTCTCTGAGTGCTGGTGCACCCAGACTTCAACCCTGGGCCTCCTCTCTTCTAATTGCTTCTAGAACCATCTGTCTAAAGCCCGAATCTGCACTTTCCCATTTGAAAAATCCTTCGATTGTCCTCTACTGCACACAAGATAAAGTCCAACGCACTCAAATCCTTGATCTTGCGCCTGCCCACCTTCTGGTCACCTTACGCCCTGCGCTTAGCTCTCTAAGCCACCTCTGGTTTCTTTACCAAAAAAAAAAAAAGCCACCTCCACCCTTGACAGCCTTGAAGTCCTTGATTCATTTCTAAGCCACTCTGTCTAATAGCCACTTGCTGACTTCTCTGTGTCCACCACCAACTCTGAGCAGAAACCCAGCCGACTGCCTGCAGCCTCGGCACCTCGCCGGCCCCTGGTACTTAACACTCAAAGGAGTAGTTACTGTCTGCTGAGTGCTGTCTTAAGTGCCTTACTATGAATTACTTTATATTATCCTCATAAAGTAGTTTTCTATGTTATTATTTATCAGAATAATATTATTGTAATGTAAGTAATATTTATTGTTACTCCTATTTTATAGACGAGAGTAGTGAGGTACAGAAATGTGAGGAAACTTCCCCCAGGTTCCCCAGTCAGAAAATGCAGAGATTCAAACCCAGACAGTCTGACCCAGAGCCAGCACTCTTCGTCATTGTGGCTACTGCATCTTAATGAGAGTCTTTTAAATGAACTAATAAATTATCCACATGATTCCGCAGGGAGCGAGGGTAAACGCTGCTGGAGACCCTTCTGGGCCTCGACATGGAGACACAGTGAAAAGAGGACGAGCTGGGAGCCCAGCTGAAGTGAGTATTGGCTGGGAGACCAGCTGGACCCCAGACTCGGCTTCGCAGACATTCTTACTTTCCCGGGACACTGACACTTACCCTCAGCTGGGTGGGACACAAATACCAGGAATGTCAGTACTTCCCCCCAATACAGGCAGACACGCCAGGCCCGAATCGGCCCGGGCCAGCATGGCAGAGTCTCGTAGCACCCACCACAAGTCACAAAATGGAGGCAGGGGAAGGGCCCTGGTTCAGAAAGACTAGGGAGGTGAACACCATGAAGCTACAGGGCAGAGAAGAGGCCAAAGATCAAAACCAGAGGCACGAGGTAAGGGAGGACCCTACAGCCAGCTGGGGCCGAGATTCTGTCTGCCCAGACAGAACACCTTGGCCAAGGATGCTGGTCCAGCTCGCCCAGTGCACGAGGGAAGAGGGAGAAGATGGGTTGGCACCAGTTAAGGGCACAGCTCCCCAGTGACCCATTCAGAGGTGACACCCAGCAGCCACTTGGGATCCTGGGACTTCCTCTGTTGGCACCACTGTTTCCATTTTAACTACTGTGTTCACAGTAGGTAAGTGGAGCTGGCACCTCCAGGAGAAAAGGCGTGGGTAAAAGGTTGAGATCACCTCACCCCCGAGTCCCCAAGAGAACCTCCACCTAGCAGCCCACGCCAGGCCAGGACCAGCACCCTGTTTGGTTTCATAATGAACGAGCATTCAGAGGGTCACACACTTTCCCTTCCTATAGCCAAAGCCCAGCACTCACCCGCATGGGCTCATCCGGGAAGCCGGGTTTGCTCGGCCTGTCCTGGCGCCGGGATCTCAGGAGCTGCTTGGCCTGCTTTTCCGTCAGAATCGGGGAGGCCCCTGAAAAAGTCACGGAGGGGCCTTAGGGACTCTGGGGCACACGAGTCCATGTCCATCTCACAGTCTGAGGCAAAGGATTTGCAAGTTCAATTTCGGTCAAAACACAAAAGTTCTTTCACAGGGACCTGTCCCAAAGGACGTGGCATTCCAGAGGGCTCAGACGGAGCTCTAAATTGTTTCTAATATGGTTAACTCAGCGCAAATGCTGCGCTTCTTAAACACATTTACCTACTGCCGCAATGGCCCATTCCTTTAAAAGTGGATATTAATTTAATATGTTTTTTTAAATATATTTTCTCCAGTTCTCTGTGAATGTGTTTCTCATCCCTTAGGTTTGCTTTGGTGGGAATTTTTAAAACCCGAATACACTAAATCAAGTTAAAGTTGTTATTGCAAGATATCCCGTGACAAGATTATGTTAAACATGATAGTCACACATGATCCCTCAAAGAATATATTATGATAATAAAATTAAATTCTTTTGATAATCACACTAACTCTAAAGAATATTATCAAGTAACAGTCTATCAAATTTTGATAATCTCATATGAACTCTAAAAAAAAGGCATAGTTGAAGATTTATCAGCAATTTTAAGAATTAGTGTTCAAGTACATTTAAAGATTAAAAATTAATATGTCCCTAATGATAGCAGTTCTAAGAGCCTGCTTTTAGGGGAAAAAAGCAATGAATTATTGTCCATTATATATTATTTGAAATGAAAAAATATTTTAATAATATAAAATAGACTTATTCCAGTTTATCATGTCGGCATAGAAATAGGCTGTTTTTAGAGCTGATGCTCACCTGAGAAGAAAGGCAGTAAGGTGAGAGACAGCACAAGCACAATTAATGTCTTCATCCTGTCTCGGTTCCTCTCTCTGCCTGTTGTCGAGTGAGCTCCCCCGCAATGAGCCAGCCTGCTTGAAGGGAGCACGTCCGGCCCGAGGCTGGCTCCTGCTTTGACTAACAGCGTGACAGTATGATGCTAAATGCGTCTGACTCTGAGTTGTTGGTATGACCATGAAAATATTTTTTTCTGAATTCCTATAAACATTCATCCTGAGGAAGGAAATTATCCCCCTGTAATAGGACTTTCAGAGCCTGAATTTGAGAAAGCAACATGTGATATTCATTTCATGGAAACGGATAGAGATACACCATAGTTTGTGAATGTTTATCTGTAGCTTCAGTTTATGCTCCCGCTCTTTCATTGAGAATTAATCATCTCTTACATTTGCAAATTTTATGACATTTTTCCAAAGTCCATTCACAAATCTAATTTGACCCTTCCAATAATTTCAGGGGCAGGCACGGAAATTAGCAAGGGACATAAGGAGGGGGAAATTTTCTTTTCAGCTGACTTTGGAACCAGAAAGACCAGGGTCCACATCCTGGCTTCACGTCTTTCTAGCAATGTAACCTTCAGTAAATCACTTACGCTTTCTGAACTGCAGTTTCCTCCCCTGTAAAAGGGAGAAAATGGTACCTACTTTTTGGGATGTGATGAAGGTTGAGGGGTACGGTATGAACTGCATGACAGCTAGCACCACTCAACATCGTCCATCTCCACTTTACAAATACAAAGTGAAGTTCAGAGGCGAAATCACATCCAAGGTCACACGTTACGGATGCTGAAGTAGAACCAGCCTTCTGTCTTTAAAGCCTGCTGCTCTTCCCATCATGCCCCAAAAGGGCCTCCTGCGATAGGCTGTCAGTAAGACTATAAGCAGTCCTACTTCACACATAAGGTAATAAGATTATTTTTATAAAGACAACAAAAATCTCAGTAAGCTGAAGTCTTCTTCAATTCAAATCATCTATAAATAGCACATAAAGGAATTATTAAATGTATTATAAAGTATGTCTGGAAGCTATGTGGCATTTATTGCAATAAAATTCTCAATTCAGAGAAATGATCTGCTGTTTCTGTGGTCACTTTGCCAACCCAAAAGAAAACAATACCCCATCTGTGGTTGCCCAAGTTGACACTAATGTCTTGTAACTAATATTAAACCTAAAGATCTGCCCACTCTGTTGGTATAAAGATAGTTTGAACAGACGGTAAACAAGAGAAAAAATCATACATTGTTAGCAAAGATGCTTAATCTTTTAATTTGCTCAAAATTAGATGCTTGGTTTTAGGGAATCTGTCGCTATTAATATGCTTCTGTTTTTATGTAGTTTTCAATGACTCAGGATTTTAGGAGTACTCTTTTAGGAAGATATATTTGTCACATTTATGTGCATTGCCAAATTTTTCCTTCCTTTTGTTCTTTGTGATTGGATTGAACACTAAGTGTATTGTTTTCTTATATCAAATAAAGATTTTCTGTGGACCAGAAAAAGAAATTTATACCTAGCTAAAAATTTCCAATGTGTCCCCTCTAAATTTACTATAAAAGTACTTTTTAATTCAGTAACTTTTGTCTATATCAGCATTGTCCAATAAAAACATAAAGTGAGCCACAGATGCAAGCCACAGAGGTAGTTTAAATCTTATATGAGCCACATTTTTCTAAAAGTAAAAAGCAGGTGAAATTTTTTATATTATATTTTATTTAACATGAAATATCCAAAATAGTATCATTTCAATTTGCTGTCAAGATAAATTATTAATGAGATACTCTACATTTATTTTTTGTATAAGTCTTCAAAATCTGGTGTGGATTTTACGCTCATACCTTTCAAGAGCTCAGGAGCCACATGTGACTAGTGGCTACCACGTTGAACAGCGTGGGTCTAGATCCTTCCATCTCTATTGCCACCACCCAAGTCTAGGCTACTGTTACTTCTCACTCGGTTTCCTGAACCAGGCTCCCAATTGGTCTCTCAGCTTCCCTCCCTGTTCACTTCAATGCATTCTCTACGCAGAAACAATGATGACCTTCTTAAATAGAAATATAAAATATAAATTGGACTTCATCACGTCCCTGCTTAAGAATCCTTCTTTATCTTCCCACTGGACTCAGAAAAAATCAGAATCCTTACCATGCTTACTCCAGGACCCTGTGTTATCTGTGCCTGCTGCCCTTTCCAATCCCACTCTGACCACTCCCCTCCAGCTCACTCCAGCCTAGCTACACTCAGTTACTTTCAATTTAACAAGCTCTTTCCCACCTCAGGGCCTTTGCACATGCTCTTCTTCCCTCTTTTAATGACTGGATCTTTCTCATCTTTCAGGTTTCCATTTGAAATTTCTCTTGCTCAGGCAAGCCTGCCTTTACCAGCCTACTTCATGATGGTTCCTGTCCCCATCACCATGACTCTCCATCACATAGCACTCATCATTATATGTAAATATTGTCTTTATTTGTTAACTTTTAAAAATCTGACTCCTCCACTGGACTGTATGCTCTAAGTAAGCTTGTATTACTTTTATAATTTAAAAAGAAAAAAGGAACCTCTGGTGGACTGGAGGGGTGAAGCTAAAGAAAGTCAGGGGCCTGTATCCCACCCTGGGATGCTGGCTCAAGGTCTCAGGTGGAGAAGGCCCTTCAGGTGTGATGCCGTCAGGGCCATTCAAATGCCGGTCAGCTTGCCCCTGGGGATATGGTCCCAAAAGCAGGGACTATAGGAAAACTGAAAGAGCAAGGTCACCTTGTTGTGAGCGTCACTCTAGTGGGGAGAAACCTCTTCTACCTGCCTACTCTCACTCCCAGGAAGAGCAGCAGGCGTGAGTCAGCAGGGCTCACAGTGGAAGATGCAATTCCCAAAAAATCCACAAGGTGGCGAGTAGGGAGAAGAACCAGGAACAACCAAGGTCAGGGGAAAGAAACCCAAGGCCACCAAGGTTAACTATTCTAGAAGTTGCCAGGAGTCGGAGGGAATCCACTGCAGGTGGAGAGAGATGCAGTGCCTGAGACTGTTTTCCTAGGGTTTGAACTGACCTGAAGGTCCCCATCAGATGCTGAGGCCTAGGAAAGCTGCATTATCAATTTGACAACATTTAAGCATATATGAAGGAAGAATGCCACACCCATATTCACAGCGCCCTAACAGAACTAATCTTCTCATTTGTGTGAGTTCCCCATCTTTTCTGAGAAGGAATTCTCAAATCACACAGATCCACATAAAGCCAACGGCCTCCAGCTCTCAACATCGTCACACTGGACAAGACCATGACTTCAAATTCCATGAGCTAAAGAAACCAGGGGCAAGGGAACATATTTTTCTTTAAAAAAAAAAAAACTGTAGAAAGATGCTGAATCTGTCCTGAAAGAATTATAATGTGTCCACATTCTTTAGGCCCAGAGTCAATTACGTAAATTCTAACATTCCTTTTCATAGTGTTTTCATCTTTTTTATTGTCTGCCTTTACCATTAGACTACAAACTCTATATTTTTACAAAGTACATATAATTCTTTGATAAGTTTCATAATAGTAACTCCATAAGCTGCATGTGCACACATACATACGTTAATTTACAGGCACGCTGTGCAGGCAGATGCTATGTTTGGGCAGACATGGTAGACTGAATTATTAGCATCAGTTCTTTACCACCACCACGGCATATCTATGCTCTTTGCCCTATGACTTTGCAGTCCTGCCCCTTGACCTCGGACTGGACCAAGTGACTTACTTTGGACAATGGGATGGTAGCAGACATGACACAAACAGGGGTACGAAATGTGTTTGTGCAGTCAGGTATGCCCTCTTGCCTTTCTGCCATTGCTACCAAAGGAGCTTCCCCCTAGAGAGCCGCTGCCCTTCAAGCTGAGTCTCAGAATTAACTCACATGGAAAGTACCTGAGCAAGGAGCCAAGCCTACAGAGATGTGCGGCTTACAGTAGCCCCATTCAACCCAGCCCAGCCTAGCACAGCTAGGAGGGGTTTGTCACACAGCAACACTCTGATGACAGCCAACTGATACATGGGGTTCTAATAGGATGGTTAGTGTGTCCAAATCTGGGTGCTATCGGGTCTCCATTAATAATAGGGTCCTTCCAGAAGCTTCATTCAAAAGTGAGTCAATAAGCACAGAGTAGGCCATGTGGTATAAGGGTCAAGATTTTGGGCCACAGAGTCGTCAACAGGCCTGGGCTTGCGTCCTGGCTCTGAATCTTATTACCTGGGTCACACTGAAGCTGTGTGACATTGGGAAAATTGCTTAACTGTCCAAATCACTATTTTCTAATTTATAAAAAAAAGAAGAATCATAATAAAACTTACCTCTTAAGGTGTTCTGAGACTTAAAAGAGAAGGTATATGTAAAGAGC